TGACGTTTGCTCTGTTCACCGTTGAATGGCCCCTTCCAGCATTACCAGATCTTCCTGAATGCTCCTCTCCCCCATCTCCCGTATCCATAAAGACTTTGTTACAACAATCTTAAACACAAAATCTGAAAGGTGGAGAATAGGACAGAGAAGAGTCAGAAAAACAAACACGAGTCCTATCAACAAACAAGTTATTGAAACAAAGTGTGCATTGAGTTGTGGAAGAGTTACAAACCTTTCTGGGTTGGAGAAGAGGGCAGCGGGGTAGAAACACACAACGTTTCTGCTGAGAGTGAATTTGGTTGGCAATAAACATGAAAAACAATCATACATGTGAGCACGTGATACGTGATCCAATGTAATAAATGCTGGTCCACAATTTCTGTATGTGCCAGGTATAAATTTGCTATATAAATCCTTGTATATTTCAGTACTTGACCGAGCTTTTGGCCACGACCAGCTCAACCTCCCAGTCAGTTCTGTGAAGCGCTTCGAGATGTCCTCCTGACGTGAAAGGAGCTATAGAAATGTAAATCGTTGTCGTGCGTCTGTGGTATCTTTCTCCTACAAACTACGCAGTCGCTACGCTTTAGAATGAATCACGAGAAACGCAAAGTCACTGTAAAAACACGGTATCAAAGGCAAGCCACATAATGCCGCCTTTCCTCCACAAAGTACACAAGTCAATCCACTTGACCATGCATTCCGTGCGGCGCTTCGAGACGTCTCAACGGCGCGATGGGGCGCTGGGTCAAAAGCAGGAGATTATAATAACGTGCGGTAAACAATTCCAATCTACAAATCCTTGTGCATCTCGGTGCCAGGTCTCGGGCGTCAAACCCTGGCACAAGTAAATCGAAATGATAATTAATGGCCAGTTACATTGCCAATTAAAATGATAATTAATTGCCCTGGTACCATGGGATTGCAATAACAATAATAATACTATTTATTATGATTGGGCAGGGACAGAAAAAGAGAGAGAGAGAGAGAGAGAGCTGTGCCACAAACATTGGTGATGATGGTCCATTTGCTGGTGCTCACAGCTGGGAAACTGCTCCATCCCAAGCCCCGCCTCCACACTAGCCCCGCCCCCACACTAGCCCCGCCCCCTCCCCCCTCCCCTCTGCCTGTTCCTACGCTACATGCAGTGAGCAACCTTTCTAAGCGGCGCCGTCGCGGCGCTCTGCAGCGCTCCTTCGATAGCTCAGTTGGTAGAGCGGAGGACTGTAGTGGATTCACCCCGTAGCACCGACATCCTTAGGTCGCTGGTTCGATTCCGGCTCGAAGGACGCAAACTTTTTTTTTAAATTTAAAAATAAAATAAAGAGAACTTCTAAAAACACATTTTTTTTTCACACACAGAAAACGCACAACCCGACGACTCTTCTTATTCACAACCCTTCCTTCCCTCCGTTAACCTTTCTATTGCTTTCTCTGAGTACTCCCTCCACCCCATCCACTCCCAGACGTTGACGTTCAGGTTGAATCTCCCAACAGTCACACTCAGACGGACTCCCCTCTCCACACCGCCCCCCACACCCCCCCGCCCCCCCCCGCGGCCCCCGCTCTCCACACCTGGACACAGAAGAAGTGAATCGCGACGTTCTTTCTTCTCATTCGGAAGTCATTTTTATGTAAGAAAGCGAGGAAAGGACCGGGTGCGAATCCGCCGCAGTTTCGCGGGGAAAGTAAAATGGAAGGCGCTGAAACGGCCGTTAACCGGGTGGAGGGGGTGGGGGGGGTCAGTCGTTTACGTCGCAGGCGATGCAGTGTCGAGTAACGAGCTGCGTGAAGCGCTCCTCACAGCCCGGCTAGCTCAGTCGGTAGAGCATGAGACTCTTAATCTCAGGGTCGTGGGTTCGAGCCCCACGTTGGGCGTTCACATTTTTTTTTTTGCATCTCTCCCCCCCCACCCCTGTGGTTGGGTGTTTACAAATCAAATTTCTGCTGTGTTTTTTTTTTCTCCTTTTTTTTTTCTCCAACCCCCAAAAAAATGCAGAGGATAATCAAGCTTTGTTTGGAACCCCAAAAAAGACGCCAACAAACTTTGCTTGGACACCACCAGACCCCTGTGTTGGTTTCAAAACTTTGGGGCAGAGAAAAACAAAGCTAAACGAGCGAAGGTGGAAGCGTTGACCGTGTGGCCCACCGCGGCATTTTGTTTTGAATGCAAAGATTGGGTCCAAGTGAATCCATCTCATTCAAATGAAGAAGGTGTTTTCCAAGAGTTTCCACATTTGTGCGCGGGGGGGGGGCGGGGGGGGGTGGAATACATATCAAGAATGCACGTGTATTTCAAATGCAATAATAATAATAATAATAATCCTTCCATTTGTTACGCAGTAGCACCTTTTGCATCAGGACACCTGACCTCAAACTGTTAGTATTACGCGATTCGCTGTAGAATGCTGTAACTGTGAATTGTTTAAGCGCTTTGAGATGTCTCGAAGACGTGAAAAGCGCTATATCAAATGCAAGGATTATCGTTATAATTCTGGAGGCAACGACCTCGGTCAATAGGACAGTGCGGAAATATTTGCCAAAAATTGTGCGGTGGAGTCGGGGGTTGGGTCCCAGGGTGTGGGCTCTGGAACTCCCTTCCTCACTCCCTTCGCCTCGCCCACTCTCTTCCTATTTTCAGGTCTCTGCTGAAGATCTTTCTTTTCGACCGCGCCTTTGGTCACCTTCCTCCCCCTCCCCCTGGCTCGGCCCCGGGATCCATTACTGTGAAGCGCTCTGAGACGCCCTCCGGTGTGGAGGGCGCTGCATAAATCCAAGTTGTTGTTATTGGTGCAGTCGGGGGTTGGGTCCCGGGGCGCGGGCTCTGCGGTGCGGTGCGGTCGGGGGTTGGGTCCCGGGGCGCGGGCTCTGCGGTGCGGTGCGGTCGGGGGTTGGGTCCCGGGGTGCGGGCTGTGCGGTGCGGTGCGCGGGGCATTGCAGACCAGGCTCTGAGCGCACGCTCTGTGATTGGCGGAGCTACGCTAAGCGAGGACTGCGGGCCAATCAGGAGGCGCGTTGTTGGCAGGTATCGGCCGGGAGCTGAGACACAGGGGCCGATCGCCGACCTCGTCCCATCCGCCCGGTTTATTTTGATCCGAAATGAGCTCCATCGGCACCGGGGTGAGTGAGTGAGGGAGGGAGCGCGCGCGCGCCGGTAAAACCGTTACGACCGTTCCTGGGAACATAGCCTTCGGTAGTTAGGGTGGAGCGGAAAGGCTTCTCTCCGCTCCCGGGGTCTAGGCCTGGGCCGCGGGCCTGAGTACCGGCCGGGCCCGGGAGAGGGGCTGCTGTTCGCGGCGCCCACGGGGGGGTGGGGGGAGGTGTAACGGGACCTTTCTAACTACTGCTGCTGCTGCTGATGATGATGAACGGGGCTTTTGCGGGCGAGTCCAAGGCCGGAGCCCGGCGCTCAGTTGCCTCTCCGCCGCCGGAGCGGCAGCTGCTGAATCACGCCTTAAAGCCTGAGCTCTGTGATAAAAGTGAAAGTGAAACACACACCAATACACTGTGCAGTGATTCACGTGAAGAGCTTCCAGACCCCCTCCTACTGCACTGTAATAGTCACCCGAGAGCTGGACTGTTTTTTTAAAAAATGTTTTTTTTTGGATGTGACGTTTTTAAGCGCCAAGGAAACGTTTTCTATTTTCATCCCTTTATTCCCCGTTTCCCTGGAAGACTGTTTGAGAGAATTGTTCCCTGTGTCTGGTTAGGCGCCAGCAGTCACCCCAACGCACACTCCGGGGGTCCCCAAAGCCTTGGCTCTTGCCAACCTGCGCCTAATACTTTCCGGAATTAGGTAATCAGGATGTGTCCCTCCCGGGAGAGAGAGTGCGCATTCCATTCCATCAATCTATCTCTGAGATTTCCATGTGTCGGTGGGATACATAGAAATCTCCGCTTGGTTTGGATAACTCTTGAGCACGGCGATGGGTTTCTGCATGTGTCAGACACCCGGCTGACCAAAAGAAAACCCTGGTCACCAGGAGGTGCCAGAGCAACTCAAGTGCAACTCTCTCTCTGGTGGTAATAATAATAATCCTTGCATTTGATATAGCTCCTTATCACGTCTTCGAGACATCTCAAAGCGCTTCACAGAATATACTGTAAAGTGAATTGACTGTATGTGTTGTGGGCGAAATGCGGGCAGCCAATTGTGCACAGTGTCCCACAAACAATCGTGGATTGAGTGACCAATTTATTATTATTTCTACCTCCCAGAGCATCACTGTGCCAACTTACAATAACATTTCAGAACTCAAACCAAATATTTTGTCATCTTGATTTGGATTCCACGTCCCATCGCAATGAATGGCAATGTTATTGCACTGTATGTTGTGTAAGAAGTGGATTCTTTGTGTTGGAAGTATGAAAACATGATGGAATCTGAGAGTCACATAAGAATTTTGTATCCAGGCTCAGCTCTGTGATGAGTGTGAATAATGTCAGGGAAAAAGATTGGAACTTTTGTGTGTTGTTTACAGTATGACCTGTCAGCGTCCACCTTCTCTCCTGATGGACGGGTATTTCAGGTTGAATATGCCATGAAAGCTGTTGAGAACAGCAGGTAAGAAATCAATATTTATTCCTCAAATTAGACTTTGGTGTTGAATTTATATTCTTTCACGTACAAATAAACTTAGGTTTTCAAAATTTAATGCTTCTGTTTTATTGCGTTTGCTTTAAACTTCAGAAATTAGATAGTTGATTCATTTTATTTATTGGAGGCTTGGATTTCCCAATGGATATCTTCAGGATGAAAAACTTTCAAATCTAACTTTCTATACGTTAAGGATTTTCTTAAAAAAACTGCCTGTTATTAAAGATTCATAGTATCGACATCCGTATCTGTGGATGACATCTGACCTAGTTATCCACAACCCGCTACCTCCGCTCAACTGGCCCCAGCCTTCTGCATGTCCCTCATGCCCTCCATTCCATCATTGGCGGCCACATTTTCAGCCATTACACCCCAAAACTCTGGAACACTCTCCCTCAATCCTTCCACCTTGCCCCTTCCTTCCCCATCTTCAGGTTGCGCCTGAAGACCTTCCTCTTTGACCTTCCTCTATGGTCACCTCCCCCTCCCCCCGGCTCGGCAGCATGCTCTGCCACTGTCAAGCAATCTGGCACACTACCCAGTGTGAGCAGTGCTATATAAATGCAAGTTGTTGTTGTTGACATTTGCGTGCTTACTTTTCATATTTAATTTTACAGCACCGCCATTGGGATAAGGTGTAAAGATGGAGTCGTGTTTGGAGTAGAAAAACTGGTCCTTTCTAAACTTTATGAACAGGGCTCCAACAAACGCATATTTAACATTGATCGTCATGTAGGAATGGTAAGATAAGTTTAATGTGTTCTCCAAAAGTGCCTAGTTTAACTAGTTTATCAGTTTGTAAAGATGAGGCATTCTTGCAGTAGATCTTGCCCATGAACAACAACATGTAGTGCCGGCTGACTGTTGAGTGCAGTGATGGAGGTGTATAGCATTGTTCGAGGAGCTGCCCTTCAGATGAAACATTAACCGAAGCCCCTTCTGCCTGTTCAGGTGGATGTTAAAGATCCCTTAGCATTATTCAAAAAGAGAAAGGAGTTTCTCCCAGTGTCCGACCAACAATTCCCCAAATAAAATTGGTGTTCACTTTAAGGGAAACAATGTCTTCATTTTGTGGGACATTGCTGTGTGCAAATTGGCCACTGCATTTGTCTGCAGATTACATGGTCACTGCACCTTATGGTATACCCTGTGAAGCAACTCCCGAATTGGAAGCTACTACATCAAATGTAAGTATTATTAACAACTTGCATTTATGTAGGGTCCTGCGTGTAAGATAATGCCTCGGAGAACTTCACAGTAAGGCTGGATGTGAGCAATGGAGAGGGGGCAAGGGGAGGGAAAAGAGGTTTAAGGCAGGATTTAAAGACAGGTGGAGAACGGGCAAGGCAAAGGATTAGAGGGTATGAACCTCGTGTGTGAGTGTGATGCATATGTAAAGAATGAGAACTGAATAGGTGTCATGTTGCTGTGTTTTATGACAGTACTCTTATACTATGATTTGTGTACAGTCTTGTATTGTCAAGTTTGATCATGCAAGAAGTGATTAAGGATTTTCCTCCATTCCACAGGCAGTAGCAGGACTTCTGGCAGATGCACGTTCCCTTGCGGATATTGCCAGAGAAGAAGCTGCCAACTTCAGAACCAGTTATGGCTATAATATTCCACTAAGGGTAGGTCGTTTATCTAGTACTGTGTTCTTTCGCTAAAACACAGAATTTGTGATCTGTGTAAATGATGCATGTTACAACTTAATCAAAGCACTTAGTCCCGTAGTTAACTATTGAATGACATACTGTCCAAGAATCCACTGTCAATTGATCCAGATGTATTTATATTATCATGAGATTAGTTTTGGATGATTGTACTTTCCGGTAAGAAGATTCCCGTTTTGTTTCATCTGAGAAAATAATTAATCTCAAACAACTTGTTGCCCATTTATTCCCTTTTTTTTAAACCAAGATTGGGAAATTTACTAACAAATCAACATCTTTCACCCATAAAATATAGTCAATTCACTTTACAGTATATTCTGTGAAGCGCTTTGAGACACCTTGTGATTATGCGCTATATGATAAGTATGGATTATTATTACCTTTCCATTTTATGACACAGTAAGAATAGGAGCTGAAGAACTGCAACAAGATTCATATGAAAAGAGGAGGTCCATTAATTGGCACAGATTATAGTTATTTGGCTTAATTTAGAACTATATTTTATCGCAAATATCATGTCTATTATAAATCACTGGGGCTTATTTCTTTAATTATAACCAAGCTTACAAAGCATTGTCTATTTACATTGGAACAGTATTCCTAAATACTCTGAATACTATGTTCAATACTCTGAGATGCTATCCTACATGAAGGGCACTTTATAAATACAAGTTGTTGTTTTATTGACAAAATTTTGTTGCTCTACTTAAAAAGAGTTCTCTTTAAAGCATCTTGCAGACCGAGTGGCAATGTATGTCCACGCATACACGTTGTACAGTGCTGTGAGGCCGTTTGGGAGCAGGTACGTTTTTAGATATAAACTGATTAATATGAAATAGTATGGGTTGTGTCTTTTCATGTTTATACATTGCTGTGTAACTTACTTGGGAGTTTAAGAAATGTCTACGGTATCTGGGGAAAACCTATCCAAACAGCAAGTGAAGTGTGAACCTGCTGTTTTAGATGTCAGCCTGGTTCAGTTGGTCGCACTCTTGCCTCTATAAATCAGAAAGGCTGTGATTTGAAGGCCCTTACTGGGACTTTGAACTTACAATTTACAAATCCAATGATAATCTGCAGTTTCCTTCGACTGCGACATTAAACCAAGGTCCTGTCCTTCCGACTTGAATGTTGAAAGCTATTTTAAGTGCAAAGATTATTATTATTAGATTGCTATTTGCAAAGTGAATCAAACCACAGAAAGAAGGTTCAGTACTATAAAATATTCTATTGTTCGAAATAATATTCCATGCATTTGATGTAGCTCTTTATCACATTGTTGAAACATCTCAAAGCGTTTGAGCATTTGCAGATGAATGTGGCACAGTAACAGTAATTACTGCGCACAGTAATTTGCCACAAACAGCCATGAAGTGATCTAGCTTTGTAGCATATATTGGTTTGCTTGATGTATTCCTACCTAAAAGCCTCAATGTTTCTGGTAAAATTTGTAGCTTTATTTTGGGATCTTATAATGAAGATGATGGAGCTCAGATGTACATGATTGACCCTTCAGGAGTGTCGCATGTAAGTCTCTCTTCAAGAATATTTTGCTTCACTAAGTTGCAATTTATTATTTAGAATGCCATTGAATTAAATTTCTAGTTTGAAGCATTTGTGCGATATTGAACAATATGACAATGAGAAATAGTTATACTGTTCATTTTTAATCATGAACATACTTTTTTATACTCAATCCATTCAGACCAATGCACAAAACATCTTTAAAAATGACGAAAAGGGTTTATTAACATCTGAATATCTGTTAAATAAGCTTAATGCATTCCAAATCTTCTTTTAACACCTGCTTTAGTTTTGTAAAATTACCTGCAATGAATGGATATAATTTAATAATGATGATCCTACATTTGGTATAACACCTTTCACGTCAGAAGGAAATGCCAAAGCACTTCACAGGACATACTGCAAAGTGCAGTGACTGTGTTTTGTGGGCAATTTAAACCATTATCCACTATTGTGGGGATTCTTGTACATTGGCCAAATATTTCTGTAGGTTTTTAAATTCTTATTTTAAAACAATCAGTAAGTGCTCTAGAACTTTTCTGTCTGCTTGTAACCCCTTCCCCCTCGTCATTCACCAGTTCATGCCCAAGAGGACATGTGGCTAATCTGATTCAAGGTGTGTAAGAGTTGCCTGGTTTTTAATCAGAAATTATCTTTAAAAAGATACAGAGAACTTGGAATTTTTTCTTCAATACTGAATTTCACACCTGTGGGTTATTCTGTACTAAATGACTGCAGTTTTGTACATGATGTATCTTGATTACAATACTGAAAAAAGTTAGCAAATTACTGCTCTTTCATATTATCTATAATTCTCATTCTTCATCTGTAATTATGGAGATTGAATTGAATAGAATATTATTGAACCGTCTGTGTACGGTGTGAATTAATTCCTAGTAAGGTCTTTAAAGGAATGGCAAATGCGTTGCATTTCTGATTTCCGTTATTTCCGACAGCCTTTGAGATTGTGCCCATCATGTGCGGCAGGCAGGCTTCTGGCAATGCTATTCGGGTACTGTCTCTTTTAGACATGCCATTTTACTATCCTGTGTGGAGAACATCCCAGTCATGATTTGCACGTTTGCTCCCTTGCTGTGAGAAATCTGTATCATGTTCTATTGTGTCATTAGCTCTTAGAATTTAATCAGTATATATGATCATTTATAATTTAGTGAATTTTTAAAAAATCCTTTTAATGCTGGACACATATTTCACATGAGTGCTGTATCATTGTGTGGTGGTTGAAATTTTGACATGATTGCAATTCTGCAGGGATACTGGGGATGTGCTATTGGGAAGGCTAAAGAAGCAGCAAAAACAGAGATTGAAAAGCTACAGGTAAGCAAAAAAAGTTAAACAATGTGTGAGGGAATGAAATAAAGAGGCGCAAGGACATAGCACTGGGAAGAAGTGGAGTGGAGATCATGAGGTCAGGCATGAAGGTTGCACAACTTCAGATGGATCCTGGTTAAGATTGCCAGCTGAGGAAAATGTAATACTTATGCGTAGTTCCTCACGCTGCAAAATATTCTTTGTAATTTGAGAGAAGCACTTGTCTTCCCTTCATTTGTATGCTTTTATCATTCATTGGGAACTTGGACATGCAATTGTGTATGTGTATCAGAGACCAACTTGGAGCAATGGTGTGCTAATTGTGGAAGCTTACTGAAAATATTGCAGTGTAAATGGGCATTTACTTGGAAATGATTTGAAAGACTTGAAGGAAATGTGTTAAGTCAATTTTCCAGTTCAGTTTTTTTATATATACATATTATATCATATATATAATGTAAAATGCTGAATATATTTAATCTTTTGCTATTTTTTACTCCCTTAAGTTTAAGTTGTCAGATGACACACTATTCTTTTGATTGAGGTGATCAGTTTTCAGGCCTGTTAATTAAATACTTGTCTTAAAAATGGGGAAGCTAATTTGATGAAAAAGTGAGTGTATCTAGTAAATCGATGAAATGACAACAGGGGAGACGAATCAGCTTGAGGAAGGGTCAGTGAGAATGGAATCATGAGCTGAATAATGCGATTCAGAGTGTAACATTTTCTTCTGGGTGCACTGAAAGCTAGAAAATGTATAAAACAGCACAACTGCTTTTTGGTAACTCTCTTACAGATGAAAGACTTGACTTGTAGAGAAGTGGTGAAAGAAGTTGCAAAAATGTAAGTTACAACTTCACACGCTGTATTGCTATACAAATGCAATTTGTTGTTGTTTCCAGTGATACCTTGACGAAAATTAATTTTGATAGTGGCTCCTGCATGATATAGGTCACTCTCACTCACCAATATTTAATGACTTAAGCAAGATTTGCCACTGATCTGATATGCAATGTTACTAAATTATCTCAGCTTCACCCACAAAACAGTCAATTCACTGTATAGTATATTCTGTTCATGAAGTGCCTTGAGACTCTCAACGACATGATCAGGTGCTATATCAAATGCTGTTATTATTATAGTCACAGTTCAAAATCTGGGATTTGTAAACTTTTTGTCCAATTTTCAGACTATGGCAGAGGTACCTATGAGAGAATCATTTTCATGTGTTCGGATCTTTGGGCTTGGACCAATACTTAAACGTGTATTAACCTTTTATTTTGTTATTCTAGTTGGCTTTTTTTAAGGGTGTGGGGGAGAAAGCCGCATCATTCTTTTACATTCCTCACCTTGATAATTTATTTTAATTTGGATAAATGTGAACAAGGTGCCCGTTGAACAAATGTAAAATAGGTACATTAAGTGACAAGGAATTGATGACAATGGTACACATTTGATTCTTGCCTGCAACTAGTTTTATTCATTCTCAGCTAGGCCAGGCCACTAGATGGTGCACAAAACAATCTTTGTTCACAGAATTTAATCTCACAGACAGCGTAGTGCCATTGCAGTCTTTTTTCCTCCCATAACGCTCTACTTTCTTGGAGGAAGATGTACATTATGATGATCATTTATCTTGATATTTTACTTGTATAGTATGCCTTAGTTCTATAAGCTTTTATTCATGCAAGTGTACATTAAGAAAAAATGTAATGGAGGAAACCATTTCTTAAAATATATTTTATTTATTAAATATTAATATTAAATATTAAATATCTGAACATTTTTCAAAAAGTTTGTTTTTAATAAAAATGTATCGCCTTCCCACTAAACACAATCTATACATGTGTTTCTAGCCAAACACTGTATAGATCGATATGGGACAGTCTTAACACTGATGATGTATGTACCTGTTCTATTCTCAGAATCTACATAGTCCACGATGAAGTGAAGGATAAATCTTTTGAACTGGAGCTGAGCTGGGTTGGAGAAAGTAATCTTTTTTTTTATAATCTCACTGCACACTAATTCTTTCTCCACAGGTCATTTAAGTAAAATCATTTAATATGAATTGTAATTTGAAATTCAAACTGAGTAATCTTTAAATTAGCTTTTTAAACTCAATGCTTATATAAATATAGTATATATGTATATTTATGTGTGTATATATATATATATGGTGTGAAATATTTTTCTATGCCAAATCAATAGTTATTTGTACATAAACAATGAAAAACTATGTGAAACCTCTCAAATCCAAAGACATCATCTCTCACTGCAGGGTTTGCTTTCAAATCCCACAATCCCTTTAAGTTGAGACTCACAATCTTAATAAAAACTAATCTAAATTCTTAGTAAAATGAGACTTGGAAGAATTGTGTACATTTCCTTAATGCTTTATTGAAATAATATTCTAATGTGGCTCTTTTCCAGATACAAAAGGTAGACATGAATTAGTACCGAAAGACATCAAAGAAGAAGCCGAAAAATACGCCAAAGTAAGAATGCAATTTACATAATCATTTACAATTATTTTGAAGTAAAACATTTCTCCTTCCCTTGTTGAAACCACTTACATTGGGTTTTTCTTCCTTAGGATTCTCTTGAGGAAGATGATGAATCTGATGAAGACAACATGTAATCAGTTTCTGTTGAGAAAAAGTTTGAATTTGAGCTTTTTTTCTTTGTATTTTCTCCCCGCCCCAATATTCAAACATACTATCAAGTTTAACGTTTCTCAATGTTGAAAATTAAACTTTACAAAGTGTTTGTAAAAATAGATCCGGAAATGGTAANTTTTCAGTTAAAACATGTAGTAATTTTTTAAATTGTTTTCTGAATGCTCTACAACCATGTTATTCTTGTAAGACAGTGACAGAAATAAAGACTTATTAGATTTAGCTTGTTGTGCAGGTGGCTTGATTTGCTCAGAATAGCTGTTAACAATAGTTTACAGTGCTTCCTCTAACTTTCTTCTGGACTCTAGCTCTGATAGTACCAGTGAGTTTTTGCTTTATAGTTGCATTGATGTTGTAACTAAACATTGCATGGTTGATGCTTCCAAGCTGATAGGTCGTGATATCGGGGTGTCAGATTAGATCTTCATGTTGATTTACTGGAAGATCTGTAGGAGAGGCAGAGTAAGATAAACCCGTCTAGAAGATTAAGATCCCTCCCAAACAAGAAAATGTGGCTAGTTTACTGTTAATTAGGAGGTAAAGTATGTAGGTGTAATACAATGTCTGTTTTGGGAAAATTAGTCATGGGAGTATCTGGTCTCTTTCCCCCCACACCCCAAAAAAGATGCACTAGATTAGCCAGGCATTTCCTGAAATAGTCATTGGCTTGGGGATGAGTATTTTGTTTTGGAGGGGGTTTAGTCGGTGGTCAGTTTCTTTAAATGGAAAATAGAAGTATTGTTAAGTTTATCTGCTTCTGTTTCCTATTCAAAATATAGATCTTGACAAACAGTTTTACAGATTTGACATGAAATCCAGTTAATGTTTGAAATGTTCATGTTACAATAAAATGTACATGCCCCTGGAGAGATGAGTTGCCTAGCAACAAATTAAAACCTGGAAGTGTCTGGCAAATACACAGTGACTGCTGCCAGAAAACATTTGCCAGCAGCCATTCGCATTTGAATTCCTTGGCCCTTTAAAGGAGTGATCTTGCCCTGGGCTGTTTGTGAGAAATGGAAATATGATTTACAATTTTTTAAAAAACGTTCCCCCCATTCCTTCTAGTTTTAATCTTTTGAGCAAATGACAATTTTTGATTCCCAACTTTACATGCAGTTTGCATACACGTTTCTGTTACTATATAAAGCAAAATTGGAAAATGGCAGAGTCAAAGATCATTAATTAAGGAATAAGATAAGATACCTCTGGCTACAAAAAACTGTTGCTATCTCTCTCTAACCTCCTCCTCCACTTCCTTTCTTCCAATCCAGTATCACCTTACTGACATGAAGAAATACAATTCACAAAAATTACAAGGTTGTTTGAATAAAGGTGGCCCTTTGGCTCACTTGGTCTGATTCCGCTAGAATACCCACCCTATCACAATACTATCAAATTGCTTTTTACACAAGCTTAGTGTTCTGGTCTCAACCACCTTTCCTGGCAACCTGTTCCAATTGTTAATTATCAGTGACCAAAGCAAAGCTTCCTGCATTTATCCTGAAATTGCTCTTTGCAACACTAAACCTGTCATCTTGTTCTACTGTCTTGGTACACCAGTGCCCAGGAGGCAGTGACCATTCACGTGCAAATGTCTTCAGGTTAGATAATCACCAATGAAATGCACATCTCCAGAAGGAGGTTATTGGTTGCTGCCAGCTTAGATAAACAGGAAATCAATGGACCTGCTGGTGGTCTGAGGGTTAATTCTGGTGCGTGTTTATTAAAAGGCCACTGTGGCCCCAACATAGAACCTAACAAATTTAGGATCTCTAGCCGAAGCTCAGTTTTATATTTAGGCTCACTGAGAGACAGACACGCTTTTTGATCCTGCTCTTCATTGCCTCATACTCCTTACCGTCTTACCTTACTCCTTACATTTCCAGTGTAAAGAGAATATTTACAGGTTAAAAGCCTGTTCACCTAGCAGTAAGAAGGAACCCAGTTATTAGTCAATTGGCGGATCACATTTCTGGGAGTAATAATACTTCCAAAATAATAATAATAATTTGGTCACTTAATCCATGATTGTTTGTGGGACACTGCTGTGCGCAATTGGCTGCCATGTTTCACCCACAAAACATATAGTCTACACTTTACAGTAATATTCTGTGAAGTGCTTTGAGACGTCTAGAAGACGTGATAAGCGCTATATCAAATGCAAGTATTATTAATTATACTTTTTTTTTTACTCGCCTGTTATCAATTTACACGGCTTTTCATTCCATTGACAAACTTTGCCTGGTATCCCATTTCATCTTTTCTTAATTTCCAGCTAATTCCTAATGCCTATCCTAAATTATCTTTTATTTTCCTGAACCTGTGCTTTTCTTGCTGCCATGTTGTACCTGAAAGCATTGTTTTAAGTTTAATAATCCATTTAATCAGGTCTCTTATGAGACCTATCTCTCTAAGGCTGTAGGCTAGCTTCTCTAGCCATTCCTCATACTTAATCCTCTATTATTGTACCATATTGCTTTCCTTGGTTTTCCTCATATTACAAAGTGCAATTCTTTTCATGGGAATGGTGAAGTGGAAAAACACATTATGTTGTTTTTTTTTTGGTCAACCAGGTCTCTGACACACTCAGAATCTCATCACTATGCCAATATCCAAACCAGACAGAGTTCCACAAATGTACATCACCTCAACATATGTTGAACTCTTAGCTGGTTTGCATTATGTTATTTGGTTTATGCATTCTGTGACCATGTGCAATGAGCATAAAACCAAAACTGTAGCACCTCTTTGCTGTCAGTGCTGAATACCTATAAAACTCATGTAACTGTTCATTAGTTTAAAAATACAATTGTAAAAGGCCATATTTCTGCCGAACGATTTAAAACTGAAGCACAAATTAATTTACTAAAATTGAAGCTTGTGTGAAAGGAGAATAATGTTAGGTTTTGTTGCTTGGTTACCAGAATAACTTACTTGCATTGACTAGCTGTCATGAGCTACCAAATCAGCCTTCTTTAGGCATAATTCCAAATTCAGACAAAGACTACAAAACATGCTGAAGGTCTTTCATTCTACATTTCCAAATTGAAGAAAAACTTGTCTGGCCTTTGGTGCTGTTCCCAGTGGATACATCATGGTTATGGAATGTCAAAATGTAGCAAAGAGACATCCATTTAGTCAGATGAAAAGCACTCAGCTGATTCCGTCAGAAAGTGGCCATTTCAACATGAATCTAAAAACCAAAAGAAGCATTTAGAATTATACAAAAGGAATGGTTAGGTTTACATACATTTATTCATTTAGGTGGAGCACGTGTGATAGGACTTGAATGTTCTTCATGCTATGCAATTAAATCGTAGGACACCAATCTTAAATTTCTGTAATAATAATAATCCTTACATTTGGTATAACACCCGCCCCACCATTGGCGGGAGAGCCTGCAGCCACTCTGCCCCCAACCTCAGGAATTCCCCCAATCACTCTGCCTCGTCCCCTCCTTAGCCTCCTTCAAGTCCCGCCTCAAAACCCTCCTCTTCGACCATGCCATCGGCCAGCCCCTTCCCCTCTTCTCCCGCCCTGATTCCAACTCGGGTCTGAAATGCTATACACTGTCCAGCGCCTTTGGACGTCCTCCCGATGTGAAAGGCGCTATACAAACGTAATCTTGTTGTTGCTGTTTCCTGTAGAGAAGATATCCCAAAGTGTTTCACATGATATACTGTAAAGTGCATCATTGACTGTATTTTTGTATGCATATGCAGCAGCCAGTTTGCGCACTGCAATGTCCTACAAACAGCCATACAGGGAATTAAAAATGCTGTACTCTTGCAGAAAGACTAGAATATTCTTCCCCTCCCCTTTGGAACTTTATCCTCCTCCCTTCACCCACTATGTCTGGGCCATCAGAGGCAAATTGGCATTCTGCCAGATCAGAAGTGTGTGTACTTTCTCTGTGCTTCTATATTTCATGATAGATATTTTGAGATGCACTAGCAGTTTATGGACTAAAGTAGATACTAGGTTTAATTTTAGAATGAATTGCAACAATGACACACATATCCTACAATGTCCCTGTATATTTAACACATTTCAAAAATGTTCAAATGCCGAATTATAATAATAATCCTTTATTTATCCTTTCAATAAACCATAATATTCAACTATACTAGATGTAATATAACTACAGATATTTTCAGCTTCAGCTGAAATGGAATAAACTTTCACTCTGCATTGTTTAATTTTACTGTTTTTATATTGCTTTTGTGAAAAATATCAGATTTAATGGCGTAGTGACTAACAGCCATTCAGCAACCCATAGCAGTCTTTACACAATACTGCATGTACTGCAACCACAAGAAACATAATACAGCCATTTACCTGACCACACCTTCTACAGGCATTTTTATGTATGTTGGGAGGGGGGCGAGAAAGAGTGAAAGCTAAATGGTTCTTAGGTATCCAGTTACCTTAAACTGCAGTACTTTGCTATGGGTTGCATAGAATGGCTTGTCTGGTCATGACTGAGTCTGTATGTATCTTGTCCTTCCATTTTCTCCCATTGCTGTCGCAAACAATTTTGAGTGAGACGGTATAGGAAGGTTAATGTTTTGAAACGGACGGCAGGTTACAAATTCAAAACACTGTAAAAAGGATTTTCTTTATAAATATCATAGTTTGCTATTTTCCCAAAGAATCAAAAATGCATGAAATAAACATATTTCATAAAATGCTTTAGGTGAAGCAAAGCAATTTTGCAACCAGTTCCTCCACTAAAAACTAGGAGCATGTGTTTAACCTCATCCCACCTACACAAGGACAGGTTTGCTCCATAAATAGATCAAACATTCTGGATATTAAGATCATCCCACATTTAGCTCCAAATCAGTTTTAAAAACAACTTACATTTATATAGTGCCCTCCACACCAGGTGGCGTCCCAATCTATACATTATGTACGTGTAGTCCGATGCTGAGCCAGGGGAAGGGGGGAAAAGTGACCATAGACACAGTCGAAGAGGAAGGTCTTCAGGCACAACCTGAAAATGGGGAAAGAAGGGGCAAGGCAAAGGGATTTGAAGGAGGGAATTTGGGGTGTAGTGGCTGAAGGCATGGTTGCTGATGGTGGAGCGGAGGATTCGAGGGACAAGGAGGAGGCTGGAACCAGTAGAGTGGAGTCAGCGGGTAGTGCTTTGAGGAGAGAGAAGGTTGAAGAGATAGGGTGGTGCCCAGGCGTGGAGGGATTTAAACACTAGAGGGAGAATCTTGGAAGTCGATCCGTTCTGTGACAGGGAGCCAGTGGAGTTTGGCAAGGACTGGGGTAATCGGGGTGCGGAGTTTAGTGCGGGTAAGAATGCAGGCGGCGGAGTTTTGGATGAGTTGAATATTGTGAATAGTGGAGGAGGGGAGACTGGCAAGGAGGGCATTTGAGGAGCCCAGCCGAGAGGTGATGAAGGCGTGGACAAGGGTTTCGGCAGCTTATGGAGTGAGGTATTGTCGGAGATGGGTGGAGGAAAGTGGTCCTAGTCAGGCACCAGATGTGGGGGAGGAAGGATAACTGGGGATCGACCGTGAAGCCTAAGTTGTGCACGGGTTCAGAGAGTTTTAAGGAAAGATAGGGTAGGTTGAGGAGGTCGGAACCGCAGGACAGAAGATGTTGACGGGAGCCAAAGAGTATGGTTTCCGTCTTGTTGATGTTTAACTGTAAAAAATTTGCGCTCATCCAAGCCTTGATATTTGTCAGACAAGCTGACAGAACATCAGAGGTCTGGGGGTTGCAGCTGGAGGAGAAGAAGTAGAGTTGAATGTCACCGACATACTGAGAGAAGGGGAGAGATTGGAATGTGTTAGCGTCCAGAGGGACTTGGGTGTCCTTGTACACCAATCACAGAAAGTTAGTCTGCAGGTGCAGCAGCAATTAGGAAGGCGAACGGTATGTTACCATTCATTATGAAAGGATTAGAGTATAAGAGTAGGGAAGTCTTGCTGCAACTGTATAGGGCCCTGGTGAGACCACACCTGGAGTACTGTGTCCAGTTTTGGTCTCCTTATTTAAGGAAGGATGTACTTGCCTTGGAGGGGGTGCAGCGTAGATTTACTAGGTTAGTGCCAGGGATGAAGGGGATGAGTTACGAGGATAGGCTGACCAATTTGGGCCTATATTCTCTAGAATATAGAAGAATTAGAGGGGAATCTTATAGAAACCTATAAGATCATCAAAGGGCATGATAGAGTAGATAGTGGGAGATTGTTTCCCTGGTTGGAGAAACTAAAACCAGGGGTCACAACCTTAAAATCAGAGGCCAGCCCTTTCGTACTGAGTTGAGGAAGAACTTCTTCACTCAAAGGGTAGTGAATGTATGGAACTCACTACCCCAAAGGGCTGTTGACGCTCAGTCCTTGAACATATTCAAGACTGAGATAGATAGATTTCTTATTGCAAAAGGGATTAAGGGATATGGGGATAAGGCAGGGTCAGGTTATTAGCTGGAGTTAGATTAGAAGATCAGCCATGATTGAATGGCGGGTTAGGCTCGAAGGGCCGAATGGCCTACTCCTGCTCCTACATGTTATGTTATGAGAGGGAGCATATAGATTAGGACGAGAAGCGGGGCAAAGATAGAGCCTTGGTGTACCCCACAGGTGACCGGACAGGGGCGAGAAGAAAAACCATTTGCGGAAATGTAGTGCTGGCCTGGCGGTTTGTAAGGTGGATCTCGACCTATACCCTACAAGCAGTCTTTTTAATTTTCTTCCTTTACCAAAATAACAGACTGTCACCTTTTAGATTTTGTCAGGGTCCACACCCCAACTACATTATAACGGGGTTGGTCTCTTATTACCATCTGTTCTCTGGTACAGGTTAAGACATTGGAATTACAACTTCTGGAAGTATCATCGATAGAAATCATTGCAATAAAAATTCTGACTTACGAAATTCAATCTATACCAGAGATATGGTGACAGTGTGCAGCAAAATACAATACGATTTCAAAGAAATCCAACTTTTCCATTTGATTTTATGTGTGAATCATCTCAGGAGACAATTGTCCAACATCAATTGCAAAAGAAAGTCAGACTGTTCATTTCAGGCCCGTAACAAATCTTTTATGGGAAGGATTCAGATAATTTTTTAAATTTTTGCTGTGAGTTAGAACAGCTACCATTACATATGAAACACCAGTCCACATATTATTTACATTATCCATAAGGTCACACTCAGCTGTTCTGTCAGTCATGTTTATGTCCCTATAGATGGGCTGAAAAGACTATATTTGCCCCAAATAAATATATTTCATTTCTAAAATTACCAAACTAGACGCAGGATATCAAAAGGAGTGAGCAATAATTGTTCTGTAAAGCACAGAACTATTATATAGAAATAATACAAGTACTTTCTCATTTAGAGTCAAAATAGACTGTAAATTTCTCTTTTCTTCCCTCGACACCTGAAGGTGCAGTCTCGTGCTAGGTACCTACATGCACCCAAAATAAGTGGCTATCCAACCGTTCCTGTACACATTACCATCCGCACTTTGTAGTATGGATCATTGGATAGTGACCAGAAATGGAATATATGTCCAATTCCTCCATCCTCTTCCTCAGGCCAATGGTGCGAAGTTCAACTTTAGCGCCCCCCGGCTGACAGTTAAGGCTTGAACCTGGGGCCTTCATGGTTTTACTTTTCAGCTCTGCACCACACAATGCTGTTTACCAAATGTAACTACAGGAAACTTCATTATAGAGTAGACCAAAATCTCAAGAGCTGAATTACAAGCAAAGTACTTAAAAAAAAGGTTATTAGGTCAGCTTTGCGATGTGACATCAGTGATGCTGCCAGTGCATATCATCCAGGAAGTCCTAATTCTGCCTGCAATACGTAGTCTGGCTCGTTTACTAATTGACTTTTTTTTATTACACATACAAAATACGCAGCCTGTACACACCTGTTTCCAATTCCAGTATTCTCAGATCAATGCTAAAATGCATTGTTGGACAACATACGTAGTGACAACATGCTATTAGCTGACTGTGCTTCACACTCCTCTTCTAGATTCAGCCTGCATCTAGATGATTACAAGACACACACTATCTGCATCTTTCAGATGCTTTAAAAACAAGATTTCCATTTCACTGAATTGTTTTGAGAAGCTTCATGTCCATGTGTCAAGCAAATAAAACGTCAGCTAACTCACTAATAACAAACTGGAAAGCAGCACTCCAGCGATTGGTTTTG